GGTGCCCACCAATCCATGTTAGTCTTTAGCATTTCAGGGAGCATGGCATCTGTTCCCGGGGCCTTGCCTGATTTCATACTTCTAATCACAGTTATTGTTTCAGTCACTGTGACCGGCCTCCATGGAGGAGTGTCATTTAAATTTATAGTTGGAGAGAAATCTATTGAGAACTCTTAGAAGTCCCCGAATAGAGTAGACAATTCAGAGAAATTGTTAAGTACGCAGGATAAATCACATACTTACTTGATTTATAAATTGTCAGAGGGCTGAAGCTGTAAAATAAAGGAAGATACAGAGGAGATGAAGTCCCACACATTCAAATAATGCATTAGAGCAATGGTTCCCAACATTGGGTAACCGAGGTGTTCTTGGACTCCAATTCCCAGAAGCCTTCACCACCATCCATGCTGGCCAGGGTTTCTGGAAATTGCAGTCCAAGAATACTTGGGTTACCCAATATTGGGAATCACTGCATTAGAGCAGTGGTTCTTAACCTTGGGTTAATCAGGTGTTTTTGGACTGCAACTCCCAGAAGCCTTCACCACCAGCTGTGCTGGCTGGGATTTCTGGGAGTTGCAGTTCAAAAACACCTGAGTAACCCAAGGTTAAGAACCACTGCATTAGAGGAAACAGCATGATGCCTGCTGCCTGCCACCATCACTATCTTGTGCAGATGTGCCTGATTATCGATCTTCAAAAGCCTTGTTGTCACACACCCCCAGTGACCCCTGTGTTTTGCCCCTCACCCAGGTGCACCTTTGGACACGACTTGTCCTTTTCCCCTTTTTCGCTGCCACCAGAGGATATTATCCCCACTATATCAATTATGAGTCTCACACTCTTGCTGCCAAATAAAACAAGGTTTATTTAAGGATAAATAAGTGAACCACAGAAGGAAAATCATGGATGTTCTGTTATCATTCATTCAATAAACGTGGATTTGATTACTTGTATACTTGCTTGTATTCATTTACTTTAATCAAGGTCTCAATATATTCTGCCAGTCTATGTACTTCTAATTCTTTTTGACTCTTTAATATTCTCTAACACACCAGCTGTCTAATATCTTATCTAAACATATCACAGTCTTCTCCCTAATTGTCTAAATGCTTCATCATCTTCTCCTTCACTCTCTCTGTCACTCTCTAACTGCCTCTCTGGCACTCCCAGTTCCCGTGACTCCGCCCCTCCTGTCCTATCATAGGCTCCCGCATTAGAACTCTAAAATGACTGACAGGAGTGACATGTGAGCTGTCCGCCACACTTGTATTCAATATGACAGAAAAAAGAACATGCACTTCTAATGGAATGCTTGCAGAGGTCCCCTTCTGAGCAGGCCTTGGCCACTTAAGATTCCTGCCTGGGTGGAGGAGACCTATGTATATAAACCTATACACTTATAGGTCTTTTTCTCAATGACAGCATAGTCAGAGAGCACATTACTGTTTGGGGGAGAAGAGCTTAGAAAAGTTACTTTTTCTACAGTAAGTTCCAGAATCTTCCAGACAGCATCTCCACACTAATTGAAAAACTCTGGGATTTATAATCCATAGAAGTAATTTTTCAGTTGGCAGGGGGGATGACTGGAAGTTATAGTTCTTCTCTCTTCATATACATTAATTAAACATGTGAGGCAGTCTGTACAAGTATGTTCATCAGACGGCCCTCTATCAATGCAGTTACATATCAGGCAAGGTTGCAGTGTGTGTCTCCCAGTTCATACACTTAACCATTACATTTGTATTCATAAAAAATTCAGGCTTGTTGGCTTTTCTTTTTCTTTTTGCTCTGCATAGACTTGCATATCACTGCTGGGGATCACGGGCATAAATGGAGATTGGAAAAGTAATCCTTTATGGGCTACAATTACAGTACTGGCTATGCTGGTTTGGGGATTCTGAAATTGTGGTTTAAAAAACCCTCCTTAATCGTAGCCATAACTAAGTAGTGAGGACTGCAATCACAGTTTGGCTTTCAGTTTGTTAAGATAAAGAATGGCAGCTGGATGTTTAACATAAGTTAGTTCCAGCCCCCCCTGCAGAGCATTAGAAAGGAAAGTCCACACATGACAGATCCCCTTGATCAAACAGGGACTGTGTGCCAATGCAAGGGTAAAAGAGAAATTTATATTAGCTAAGGTTTAGAGCTCCTTTTCTCCAGATACAGGCAAAATGTTGCTCTCTGTGAAACATCAGAAATGGCAAAGAATATTACAGTGTATTTGTTCTGCCTGAGGCTTGCATGTAGAGATGGGAATACTATCATTCTTTACTCTTGGTGACGTCTTGGGCCTTTTTGTTTGTTCACAGGAAAAGACAATAATGCTAAGAAAACTGAAAGGAAGTAGGAAAAGAAGAAGGCTTAATATATGGATTGACTCAATAAACAAAGGCATAGTCCTGAGTTTGCAAAATCTGAGCAGAGCTGCTACTAATAGGGCCTTCTAGAGAGTTGCTTATTAGGATCACCATAAGCTTGCTGTGACTTAATGGCAGAAATCTAGTTGTAAGTCAGAACTAGAGCAGGCCCACTGACTCAATGGAACTTATCAAGGAGTTGACTTCCCATATCGCCACTGATACAATGGGACTACTTTAGTTGTGATGTATTACTCAACTTCAGCCAGTGTCATGCAACAACAGTTTTTTTTTTTAGGTAAAAACACCTTAAAGCAGAAAATAAATAGAAAGTAATCCTGTTGCATTGGTAAGGGCAAAAAACTACAATCCTACTGTTTATAGAGGAAAGCCCATCAAAAGACTTCATACAATCTACCCACTGTGAAGACTGATACTTCATAGCTGTCCCCATGTCAACCTGGAGAGGCCTCAGGGGGAGCACATATAATTCTACATAATTCACTCAGTTAGATCTCAACCTCTGGTTGTAAGATTCCTAGTTCAGGCCCAGGAATTGGCGAAAGGAGTGGCAGAATCAGGTTGGTTACAAAATCCTTTGAAAAGCAATGGTTGTGTATACTGGGCAGTGGGTGTTGTTCCCGTGGAGCCTGGAGGCTAGGGGGTTGTTTTAAACTTCCATGGCAGAGGGTAAAGACAACATGAACCCTGCCACCATCTGTTGCTGAGGCATCCCCAGACTCTAGAACCAGCTGTGCCCAAGTCACCTAATTCCAGAACAACCCATCCCCTTTAATAAGCCAGTGCAACTGGCCTACAGCCAGTTTTTAATAAGGCGGTGCCGTTTGCTTCTTGTTTTGCTCTGGCTTTCCCCCCAGATTTTTCAAGGAACTCCCCAGCTAGAATTCTGGGAATTCTAGCCTACAAGCCCACACCTACTGTATGTTTTGTTTACTTGAACCAGGGTCTACCCCCGGGCTGTATTGCTGTTTTGGCCCTTGCTTCCAGCAGTATGGTTCAAAAAAAGAAAGCTGTCGCGGCCCACAGAGCTTCCAGGACTCCTTCCTCAGAAGGAACCCTCTCTATAAAGGGCAGCAGAGACTATGACAACAATAAAAAAATTAATGGCACATCCCTAGTTATTAATGCTCCTTTTTTGTTTCCCTACAGGTGGGCTCCACCTGCTAATGAAATGGTACATTCTGAAGCACAAAAACAAAAGAAAACAAAAAACAAGAGTCCCTGTGGCACCTTTCAGACTAACTAGTTTGATTTAACGTAATTCTTCGCAGATTGCAGGTCACTTCTTCAGAATGTGAAAGGCAGCCTTCAATAGACCTACTTTAGGTGGAATGGAAGAAAAATGTCTTGCATTTTCATCCTCATTACATTTGTTTATTGCATCTGCGATCCACAAAACCTTATGCCAATTAATATTTGTTAGTTTTTAAGGTACCACAGGATTCTGCTCTTTTTGCTATAACAGACTAACACTTTTACCACTCTGAAAATTTTTTGAAGGACAACTGCTCATGGTTACAATCTCCAAAAGAGAATCTAATAAACACAGGCAACTATCTTCATCCAGACAAATCAATCAGTTTTCTTCTTTATCAGAAGTCCGCATTCTGTAATGCCAATGGGTCTTAATTGTCCATTGAAGAGGGCCAAGGAGGTGCAGAATCACAGGCTGGTCAAGTCACCCGCAGACCTGCAGCCCAAAGGAAGAGGTACCATTGCCATGCCAAGCCCCTCTACACCTACCTGGGTATGGTCGAGCTGGTGATCCAGGCACCGCCAGGGTAGAAACTGAAGCTGTCCCTGGTCCTCACCTGTGCAAACCTCTGGATTTCTCAAGAAAAAAAATTAAATATGAGCCTGCGCTTGTATTAATATGTCCCGCCATCCTCACAGGTGTGTTTGGTGGATGCACAGAAGAGAACCTTCTCTGTTGCTGCTCAAGACTTTGGAACTTCCTCCCACAGCTTGGCCCCACCTTTGCTGCCTTGTTACTTTGAGTGGGTTTTGCTGTTGCTTTTGTATACATTTTACTGTGGTGATTGTTTGGTGTGGTTTTGTTGTAAAATTCATATACAGTACTTACTGTTTTAAGCTTTCAAACGTATTCTACTGATGTAAGCCGCCTTGGGTCCTTTTAAAGTAAAAAGGTGGGGTAATAAATAAATAAAATAAAATAAATAAATAAATACGCTTACGTTAAAACAGGGGTAGCTCAGAAAATAGATGGCAGCTGGAGAAATCCATTTTGTATTGCGAGAAGGAACAAGGAAATAAAAGTGGGTAGTAGATGGAGTTATTGTTCCTGCTTTTAAAAAGGGGGATTATTTGATCCGCAATCTTGTGAAGTCTGGCCCCACTACCCCACCCGCTCTACCTTCTTGGATGTGAAGATCGTGGGCTTGATGTTCAAAAGCAGAACAAAAAATAAACTCTGCATTAAAGGAGTTACTGAAGTGATGCATAACAAGGAGCAGCTTATAGCCTCCCGGGAAGGTTTCCAAACGACGAAGCCGGTGGAGACGATGTACTAACTAAACGATGGCTCAACTTCCCCTCGCTCGGCCACGTGGTCTCGCCTCTAGGTCGCCGGCGGGCGGGCTAAATTAGGTCTGGCTCGCTCGCTCGCTCGCTCGCTCAAATCCCGCCCAGTGGGGAGCGTCACTGGCTCGAGTTGAAATGCACACACGCCGGAGACGAAACAGCAGCCCGCAGTTAACATTCCGCTGGCAAAGGTAGAGCGCCGGGCTGCCTGCGCCCAGCAGTACGAGGGCTGTCAGCCATCACCGCCATCCAGGAGGGTACAACGCGATGTGCCGGCCAGCTCTGACCAGGCTGCTGCTGTTCCACCTGCTCCTGATCAAGCTGCACATCGCGAAAGGTGAGTCCCACCCGAGCGCGGCGGCGGAGGGGGGGGGGAAGTTACACCACGAGCGCCGTGGCTCCGACGCACGCGTTTGCTGCCGCTGGGCTGCTCCAGGTCCTCCTGCGCTCATTCCAGCCGTCTCTCTACGGGGAAGAAAAGAAATACATCGCTACTCTGATTCTGTGTGTAAACAGGCGAGGCAGAGCCATTTTCCTGCACGGGGATCAACAAAAGCCTCGGACCGGGGGCGGGGGATGTTACATCCTAGTAATAATTATATCCAGTAGGACAGGACTGCTTTTGGGGGATCTCATGGCTTTAAGGTGAAGGGAGAGTAGCATTTTTCACCTGGGACTCGTCCGAAGGAGAGCGTTGTTCTTTAAGGACGCCCCGACCAGAATACGTTTTTTTATTCACAAACCAGTGTTTTTCTTTTCCCTCTTATCCTCCCGCCTCGGCGTGGTGGGAAGGAATATATATACGCTATTTAATCTTTTTGGCCTCTGCTGATCCCTCTGAGAAGCATTCGCGTCCCTTTGAGATGGGGATGCCGGGAAATGCAGGGAAGCAACCAGCCTGCGCATCTTTTCGCCGAGCCGGACTTGGCTTGGAACGAGCCTTTGTTGTAGTCAACCTGCTTTGCCCATCTCTTCCCCCCACCCCGGTTGTGATCGGTGATGCTTCCCCCCCCCACGCCTCAATCGGCCTGGCGAGGATGGGAAAGAGCATTGTTTGAAGGGAACGAGAGCTGTTTCCCTGGGGAGGGGGGTGTTCTTTGTGCGCTTCGGTGTGTGTCGAAAAAAGGGAGAGCGTGGCGGCCTAGATCGCTCCAGCTTTGCTTGCCGTTTGTGAGAGGGTTGGGAAAAGAATCGCTAGGAAACGGGGGAGGCGGCGGCTCCACGCTCGATCCCCCCCCGCCCCGTTTTTGTTTAGGTAACATTCCGGGCTCTGGGTCTCTCTGCCCTTTGCAGGTTCCGCCAAGGAGTGCGAACAGGACCAATTCCAGTGCCGGAATGAGCGGTGTATCCCTTCCATTTGGAAATGCGACGAGGATGATGACTGCTCCGATAATAGCGACGAGACCGATTGCCGTGAGTCCCTGCGGTCTTTCAGTCCTCTTCTGCAGCCGGATGGAGAGCTGGCAGGGCCGGGGAGGTGGGTGGGCGGGCGAGAGAGTGAGGAAAATGGGGGCACTGGCTGGTTGTTTTGCCCGGGGCTGGGCTGTGTAAGTCCTGGACAGTTAGACTCGAAAACGTTTCTGCCCAGGTTTACCTGCCTCTTTCCCCCATCCTTTGGTTCGGCGAGAAAACGTGAAGAAATGTTGTCTATCAATTTTTCAAGGGAGCAGCAGCGTGATACCAGTTCCGGAAAGGAGTGGATTTTAGCTTGCCACCTAGGTGAAAAGTGAGAGTTGGTGTTGGAGAGGAGGGAAGGATGATGTGTAATTGTGGTGTTGGAAGGGGAAGAATGATGTGTAATTTTGCGACTTGGATGAAACCCTTATCCCTTAGAACCATTAAAGTATCCGGTGACTTGATCTTTGCTTGCAAAAATAAGTCCACGCGCCAGAAATCCTTTTTCAGAGGGCTCCGTGGTGTAGGGTAAGAAGATTCTATCCTGTTCCAGTTTTATGAATGAAAGTGCCTCTTTTCCCGGCGACGTTTTTGATTGGCTGTTGGGAGACCGCGAGATAGATCACATGGTACCAGTTCCCTTGAAAAAAAAGGGCGGGAGGGGGGAAGAGTATCGGGCGCTGCTTGAAGCGGCTTCTTCCCTTGCTCTGCCCCTTCAAGGCCACGCCTTCCTGCCCTTGGCTAAGGCGGAGAGGACGCGGAAGTGTCGCGAGGGCTTTGGCTGACAGGCTAAATTTACCCATCTAAAGCCGTTTATTATTGCGTAGTCATGATGAATCCTTTAGGGCCAGGACTGATTAAGCTCTTACCGGCCAGTGTCAGTCTGGGTGGTAATACCCTCCCAGTATATTCTTAAACGCATGCATGCATGCATGCATACATACATACATACATACATACCATGTCTCTTACACTGCATTCTTGTTGTAGAATGAAAGAATCTCATAGATTTCAGTGAAGCTTACCTCCGAGTACATATATATAGGTTTCCCTTGTCCTTTGTTTTACATTTTAAATACAATGGAAATGGCTTTTAAGTTTACTATTTTAAAAGATTCGTTCCTTCCTCAGTTACTCAACCTTTTCCATGGGCTTATCTCAGATTCCAGATGCCAGATTTTTCCATGTTTTATAAGCATATATATATTTGATTTGGACTAGACTACTGTATGCAAAGTGGATTTCTAGCATTTAAGTATTCTTGTTTAAGACACCTTTTCTTAGCCTGAGCTTCATGTTTTATTATGTGCATTGTAGTAGAAAATGATTTTGAAAATACAGTATAAGCAGCCAGGAATTAAAAGTTATCCAGATAAACATGTTGAAACTCTAGGAAATTAATGGAGTTTCTTTCTTTCTTTCTTTTTTTTGTAATTCAGGTTGATTTATGTATTGTGGATGGGGGACTGGAAGCACAAGATGGTGCAATCATGAACTAACATAATGTATGGTTCTCCAGGTGTAATTGGACTGTAGCTTCTGGCAGCTATGAGTACCAGAAGCACAGCAACATCTGTGGGGCTGTCTACCTGGTGACATATCTTCCAATAAGTGGGATGTCCTGTAGTAATAAGAGCCCTGGAGTAAGACCTGGGTTCAACTCAGCCGTAAAACTCACTGGGTGGCCATGGGCCAGCCACGCTTTCTCAGCTGATCTATCTCACAGAGTTACAGAGGGGATAGATTGGAAAGAGGAAGACCAGTGTATACCGCCTTGAGTTAAGCAGAGGAAAGGCAAGAATAAATGTAACACATAATAATGCCTTGTTGGTGGCTGAAATCTGATAGTGGAATTTATGCCATATAAGGCTGATGATGTGTCTGAAGCCATGGTTTTTTTCCTAAGTTAAAAATCATCGCTAAGGCTGATGATGTGTCTGAAGCCATGGTAGTTTTTTTTCCTAAGTTAAAAATCATCGATGCTCCTTCCCAGAGGTCCTGAGGCTGCCTTGGGATTGTTTTCCTCAAGGGGAAACCACTTGAGGGTTGTAAGACAAGAGAGAGGAGTCTTTAATTTCTCAAAAACACCAAAGCTGATAAAAATCATCCTGGTGGTGTAATTTTTAAAAATGAAATCAACAGCTTCCCTTGATGAAAGGGATCCCAAGGGAACATTAGGATCTCTCTGTGTGGGGGGGAGGTGGGTATCAGGTATTTTTAACTTACAAAAACCCACCATGGCTGATGACATCATCAGCTTTATGTGGTTTAAGCTCCAGGACTGGATTTCAGCCAGTGAGTCTTAACTCTGACGAGACACAGCTAAGACTGTACTGTTGATGACGGCCATGTAGGATTTGAGCTCAGTATTCAGCAGCCCTAATCAGGCACTTTCTCTCTGCTGTGTTGTACTGTCAGTGTGTTCCTGTGTCTAAGTGCTTATTGAATAATGCCTTATGTAAGTTTGATGGACTGTTGACTCACGCTAAGTATTCAAGAAGCTGTATTATTTGTTAATGGCAAAGGAGCAGGAGATTACTGACAGATGAAAGATGAATGTTATGGTTTTTATAATTCTGCCTGTACTGCAGTGCTAACATTTTTGCTTTGGTGGCAGGACTAAAATGCCATGTATGTGTGCCTGAAAACTAAGTTTTATGAGGAATTCATTACTAAACAAATGCTCTGTTATAATTTATGCTGTTATAATGTAAACATATAACATTCCTGTAAACACCAAGTGTGCTACGTGAGCTAGTAAAAAATGAGAACAGCTGTTGTGAAAAACTTCCTTTTTCCTGGATTGTGACTGTACAGATGCCACCGTTTTTAATTCTATTGAATATCTTTAAGCCCTGTTCCATGGAAACAAAAGACGCAGTTGTAAATCTCTGTTGAAACTCATGAACATACCCCATGTCTACAGATGTGTGCAGTATAGCATTCAAACCACATATTTTTGTACACGCTGGTTTTAGTTATGTGGGGAAACAAAATATGACATAGAAAATGGCAATTGTGTTGTTTGGTCAGACACTTTCAAGGGTGAGTTAGCATAAATGTTCTGGTAACATAAGGTCAGTTATACAAGTCAATTAACTTGTGAGGTGTTGAGGCAATGGCTTCTGATTACCAGAGAGTTTTCACTGAAGATGCAAATGAATTGCTTTGTCTCATTGTCCTGTTGGAAAGATCATACATTATTCTGCTCTACAGTAGGGTAGTGATTGGTAGTGCACTGATTTATGCATGGGATGAGATTGAAAGCCCATATCTTTGTTTAAGCCAAAGGAAATAAAGTCGAACTTCTTGATGTAGTAATATGCAGCTGTTTCCTTCTGGAATCTGTCTTTGAAATTCTTTTCTTCAATGGCTGTCACCCAGAAACCAGAGATAAGAGGGTGTAAGCAGGCTAAGTGTTCTCCGACTGACGTCATATTTATGTTTATTTCTTAGTTTGTGCAGACACTACCCTGTTTGTCCTATATCAATTGCTGTGCAGCGTTGCTCACAAAAATTATATGTATCACTTTATAGTTGTCACTGATATTATTAAACAGTAGAGAATACATACATAGTTAAGACATTAGGAATGTTCTGTTCTAGCAGAACACTTGAAGTACAGTATGTAGCAAAGATGTAGAGGGAAGAATGATATTGGTGCTCTCAACTGTTTATCAAATATTGCAAGGCAAAATGCTCCAGTTACGGGAATGGGGATCAGCCTTTAAGTTCCATATCCCATGCTGTATTTCTTTGGAAGTGCCTGTATCTAGCAGGTCATGGAGTTTAAACAATGAATTGAATGAGCACTGTGTATTTAAAAACACGTCTATTTATTTCAACTTACAATAATATCCATATAATCATGAAAGCAATTTTATTAGCCTGAAGTCATTTTAAACTTGTTTTTCTTGACAAGCATCATTTTACCTTGTTCAATGGTAGACTAGTTTTGAAACACTTGCTCACTGCATTTGACTATATAGTGGGGGTGTGAGAATGTACTTTTTATGCTAATTTAGTGCATAGAGGAAAGGAACAAAATTTGCACCTATATACAGTACACTTACCTGGGCCATATAATTGGCTGCTGAGGCTTTGCTTAGAGCCCACCATCCAAATTATTTATTTCTACAGATCCAAGAGACAGAGCTTTTTCAGTAATGGCCATTCTCTGATGATGGATCTCTCTCCAAGAAGTCTGAAAGTGTTTTTATGAAGCCATAAAGACTGTTCTGGCCTGCTAGGTTGATAATGCTATACCGTCTTTTTCCATTTTTATAGGATGACCCGATGTATAAGATGACCCCCCCTTTCTAACTCCAAATTTGAAAATTTGATCCCTGCTTTCCCCTTCCTTTTGCTAAGCCCCGTGAGAAAAGTAGGGAATCAAAGGGCTGCATGATCACTGAGCCTGCAACCAGCGGTGGAGGCAACAGCAGCAGGAGGCTGAGACTGAGGCAAAGAAACAGCTGGGCTCGGCCACTTCTCGTGGCTGCCCATTGACTGCCACCGCCACCACCCGATCGCAAGGAAACAATCGCTGAAGGGGGCAATCGGGCGGTGCCGGCAGCAGTCAGTGGGCAGCCGCGAGAGATGGCTGAGCCCAGCTGCTTCTTTGCCTCAGTCTCCGCCTCCTGCTGCTGCCTTCCGTGTATAAAATGATCCTCATTTTTTTCTCTAATTACTGTATTTGATTTGATTGATTAGGAAAAAGTGTTGTTTTATACACAGAAAAATACTGTAGTCATATTATTGCAAGATAACATTTATATTTGATGAGTCAACTCCTCCATTGATTCAAATAAGCCTACTTTAATTGCAATTTACTATGTTAAAGTAAGTTGCTACTAGAGTATGCCTATTTGAATCTATGGAATTTATGGAGGAATTGACTCACCAAATCCTCACTGATTCAGTGGGCCTACTTTTGTGTGACTTGCTGTGCTAAACCACAGGATTAGAAATGGGAATGAACCTCGGTTTGGGGGTTTGTGCTGGTTCAGGTGTTGTGT